GTGCCCGACGACCGGGTGCGGCCGGAGTCTGGCGCGGAGCTTCTGCTGCCGCCGCTCCTCCCGCCGCTGTAGCTTCTGTCGTTCCTCCTCTTCCTGACGCTGATGCAGCTGCCGCAGCTGCCCTTCCACGGTCGGAGCGGACTCTGGCTCCGGCTCCGGGACGTATTCGGGGAACAGAAAATGCTCCTCCATGTCATCCCTTCCTTCGTGACCCGCAGTCGCCGTCGGGCCAAGAGGAAGCCCATGTCGCAGGCCCGATGCGTGCTGGGAGGAGGTGGCGGCCGCGCATCTCCTCTGGAGGAGCGGCTCCCGGAGGCCATGGCGCGCTGCGGTGGAAGCTAATCCCCGAAGTAAGGGCCAGAGCAGTCTGCGGGTGAGGCGTGCAGGCAGCATGGGGAACGTGGCCCCGAACTAAGAGGCGGAGCCAAGTGCGCGCACGCGCACTGAACCCAAGAGGCGCGCGCGCGTGAATGCTGACTAAAGCCCGCGACTACCACACGCTGTCATTAGTCAGCCGCCGCACTTCACTCCTCCTCCTGCTCCTAATCCCGTTAATTCTCGCCATCAAGGCTCCGAGGCTCGAGAGACCGCTTAAAGCAGCGACAAAGGTTCCAGGATCTAGATTGTGCTCGCCGGGCTAAAGAGGCTAGTGAAGATTTTGTCACTTTCAGGCTTCCTCAACACGCCACTGCTGGCACAACCCGCCCATAGTCACGTTTTAAAAAGCATTGATTTTTGGCTTTAAAAGTGCAAAAACTAGAGCAATAAATGCCGCGGATTTACAGTGCAATTTAAACTGTTTATTAAATATTGGATTTCTTTTTTTTCAGGTGTCATTATTTGTGTAACAACATTGAAAAACAAACAAAACCTTCATTGGCTGGATCCGATCCTCAGACTGTAGTTGCGGTCCCCGCAATCAGCCATAGGAGGCGTTGGCCCACAATCTGCGCCTGCGCATTTCTAACCGTTACCACGCTAACCTACCATTCGCGCATGCGTGAACCTTACATTGGCTACGTAGGTGGCCTTCGGCGGAAGACGCAGAGTGTTCTGGGAACGCCGGATGCGGAAATCACTTTGTCTCACGCTCCAGGTGCCGGTGGTTGCTTCGCGCATTTTTGTCTGTGATTTCCAGCGTTAGGAGTTCGGGGACCATTTGCCACAATGTATGACGCAGACGAGGGTAGGTGACCGCGGAGACACCTCTAAGGGGGGAAACGTGGGGAGCTGGGCGAATTGAGGATTTGCAGAGTCCCCCCAAGCCGGCCACACAGGTGTCCCCGGTCTTGTTTTCCTCTTACCCCGGGTCGGGAACGAAGCCGGGATTGCCAGAGGCGGAGGGTGCAGGGAATGTAGCGTTAATGTTCCCGGTCAGGGCGACACTTGTTTTTTCACTACTTGCTTCTTAATGAATCACACATATTACTTTCTCGTATTGAAATAGCGAGCAGACCATAAAGTCAAAATCCGTTTTGACTTTGCAGTAAAGGGCTCTTTTTAAAATTTCCCTTAAGGCCAGAGTTAATGGGTTAATTGAATACAGTAGTTGAATTTTTGACCGTCAACCT